TTTTCAGTACAACACCTCATTAAAATTATATTACAGTTTTACATAAATTTTTCGCACAACGCATTATATTAAAAGTGTAAAACCAAATCATGAAAAATAAAACGTACAAGATTTAGGTATCAATTAGGGAGGTAACTGAAAATATTTAATTTTGTGGAAAAACTTCACAAATTTCTCAAATTTAAATACGGATTGATGGCTTTCCTTTTGCATGCACTTAAAGGCGCATGCTCCTACCTCTCCCCCCAAAATTATAAAGGGGGGGGGGGGGGGGGGGAGAGGAAGAAAAGGCCTAATTGCAATTTTCCTATGCACTCATACATTAAACCATATGGAGGATATATATAAGTATAATTAATTTCTCAAAAAAAAAAAGAAGCCTTGGTGCCCCATGAACATTGCATTATATGAGTGATTGTCTAACAAAAAAAAGGCATTATAAAACTGATTAATATTCAATTTGGGAGATATAACAAGATATAATTTTTTTCTAATTAATTTCTTAATACGACCTAACTGGAAAAGGCAGAAATGTGACTCCGCCATTTCCTATTAATAAAAGTAGACTGACCCTTGGTACTACACTACTACTTGAATTTCGAAAGAAGAAAACAAAAAGAAAAAGGAAAAACAAACAAAATGGTTTGTTCAGTCATCCACCAATTACAATTTAATCAAGTTAGCTGATTAATTCGTCTGGTGGCTAATTTCTTTTTCGAGTAGAATAAGATATTATATTCAAAATCATTGCCGTGAAAGTGGGGTTGGTAAGGGATAATAAAGAATTTCGCAAGTTGGATTGTGGGTATACTGTTGTTTGATGGTGGTGTGAATGGGTTATTATTTTGAATCGGGTGTTTGTAGGACGGATTTTAACTTCTATAGAACACTATTATGTAATTTTGTGTTGAATGGGTATAAATACCTCTTGTAAATTATTTTATTAATATATTTATTTTATTTTGGTTGGTCAAAGAAAGAATAAGAATAATAAAAAGTTGACTTTGAATCATACAGTTCAAAATATATAAAAAAA